ACTGAATCCTTTTTCGTTTATCTGTGACCGAATCTGACAACGTCCAGCAACCACATATCTGCCAACAACCCTCTAAATATACTTCCTTTCTGCCACTAGCCCAAATATTTTTTCCATGGCGTAAATTCTTTTTGCTGTGTAAACAGTTTCTATAATATTTAAGTTGTTTCAGTATGATTCTGAAATAGCCAAATCTTTCTGTCAATCATATATATTACAGGTGTAAATCAATTACCGCGTAAGTTTATATCAATATGCTGCACAATTTGATTATGCGGAAAATAACGATTGCATTTGGGAAACACACGAGTATAAACGATAGGATATGCATAATACTCCTAGAAATATCATGCGCAGAACTGAAATTTTTTGTAACAAGGCTCAGTTCACCCAAGACATAACAGTTTTAAGCATAAACGCAGTGGCTCTAAATTCTGTGTTGCTTTCGATTGGAAGCCAGGTAACCTGATACTTGTCACTGATTGTTTTAGGGAGCTGTAGACGATGTAGACAGTCTAGCCAAGGCCAGTACATCTCATTCTGCTGAAATGGCGTTGGCTGTATCTCCGTCGTCTCCCATTTTGACAAGTTTGATAGTCGCCAAGAAGAAGCCGCATAAACTTCACAGAGGTAGTCGAAACCAGGACAATATAGTGTATACCGAACGTTTAAACATCACGTTATTTAGCATTAAATATACTAAAATCCGTTCGTTCCGAGGGACAGCTGCAGGGCCAGTACGAGGACTTCGAAGGGTCAAGCTCAGACCTAGACAGATCGATCGATGATGTTTCGAGCGACGTGACTGCTGACCGAAAGAGGAAAAGCAAAAAGATGACATTGAGGGTAAGCATGTGATATACGATTTTGTTCAGCAATATGCTTGATGTGCTGTTGTTGTTATGTATATCATATTGTAGACGTATTTTCTCTGGAAATCTATTCGTTAGTTAGGCAATGATAAAAATAGGGAGAATGAACAAGGTTCTAAGAGCTTGAAGTTGAATAGCTGGTTGGATTGCAATACGTAGAGTCAGGTCAGATGAGTGACAAACAAATTTTGCTTTCTGATTAACGAAATAACGAAAAACAGTTAATCTAGGGTAATGATTCTGCGTGAGTTCGCTAAGGGACAGTGTTAGATTGTTTTCGTTTCTTGACATTCTCTAACAAGCGTAATCATGACCTTCCATACTTATTCCAAAAGCCGTCATTATTCTTCAAATAAAAAAGGAAAAGTAAAGTATCTAGCCCTTGGAATGTTAATCTTCTTTACACTTATTTGATTGGACCACTACTGGCACCCTTCTTTTCAAGAAATTAACGGTTGGGGCGATGTTCTCTATTTCCATGCCACCATTCAGCAGTGCCTTGTTTTAAAGGTAAAGTCAGCAGTAAGGTCGAAAGCAGCTATCTAGCAAGCATAATGTGTAGTATTCTGTTTCATTCCAATAGTTTCGTACTCATTTTCATCCTCGAAAGGAAGAAATGCGAGTGACCTGACCAATCCTCGAACCCGGCACCTCGCGGTTCTAAATGTAAAGTTCTATATGTTAAGCACCGATGGTTCACCTTTCTTTGCAAAGGATGACATGATGATTAGGCTTGACAAACGAAGCACTGCCAAATCGTTTTCTTTAAGAAAACTGTATTAAAAATCATCAAGAGCTCTGTAGATCCAAGGCCGATTGTATGGTTCCTGCCCCACCGTTTGTGATCAGCCTTCATGGCTCCTGCTGTAACAACGACTCAGAAGTTGCCTTTCAGCACATTTCTTAATTTTCTTCATCTTCTTCATCTTCATCTTCCATCGCCGCTTCTCCTTTCGGGTCGCGGAGGCAGACGCGTC